ATATATGATTATCAGGCTCTTTAAAAAAGGTATTGTATTGTATCTGTAAAATATTGTTTTCTCAATGTTTTCTCTAGATTGCTGTTCAATGTATTGATTTCACCCCTTTTCAAACAGCGAAGCACATGTTTTGTTGCGTCGTTGATTAACCATGGACTCTACCATTCCATATGGGTTATTAATTTTATAATAATTTTAAAAATAATTAAACTTAAAATGTATAATCATTAAATCGTTTTTAAACGCTTGAATATACCAAATGACTATGTTATTTTACTACAGGGATTTTAATTTCATTTATAAAACGCACTGGTAATGTATAAAAGTAGTTTTCAATTGTTGATACGCCACGGCGTATCAAGTGGACTTGGAACGTCTTACTGCTTCGCCGGCTGGAAGTTTAGGGCCTGTGGTTTTGACCAGCGTGACCATTGCTTGGGTATTTACCCAATATCTTGGGTATTTTGACTTGGTCTTGGGTTCTTGGGTATTCCGTTCAAATCCTTGGGTATTTTATTTTTACTAAGAAAATTTAATATTTTTGTCATAGAGGAAGAATTAAGAAATAACAAAGTATATTTCAGTCCATTCAAGTAAGCAAAACTCAACGAAGTGCACATAACATTGTTAATTGACTGTTAATTGCTATAAACATGGGTTCAGAATTGTTTATTTGTGATTTGTGTTGCCATTTATTTTACCTAATTAATGCATTACATAATAAAACTTGATCACTGATCTACTGATAACACTGGCCGACTGAGGGCGTATTTTTCTATCTGTATTATCACCTCATGAATATTAATTTTAATAATTAACACAAACAATTACAATAAAAAAATGGTTTATAAATTGAACTAAAAGGGAAACTATACATGCGAAAAACACGTATTTTTCAAAATTTAATGCATTTTCAGGAAGCTTGGGTAATTTTGGGCAATTTTTGCTGACTCTTGGGTAATTTTGACCCAGACATTGAGTATATCAAAAATTGTGAGTGGTCACACTGGTTTCGACATACTCTATGTTCTATCAAAGTAAAAGTTAGACGCTTGACTCTGGTCCTGTACTGAATGGGCTATGGGATATTTACTGAATTACGATCTCTTAACAAATTATCATTATTTCATTCTTTAAATTGCTTTTTCTATCCATTGATTTATTGTCTATAATTTGTTCCGATATAATAGTTGGGAATAACCTTGCATTTCAAATATATTATGGTAGGCCTATATAAAAAATAAGTGTACAAAAGGCCTACTATTTGTAGTCCTATTCATAATAAAGTACAGTGACCGCCAATAAATACTCAACATATACGATGAATATCAGAATTTTAGTGCAGTAGGCTAAGCTAGGGTGGCATTATTTTTTCCCCATTTATTTTCATTCATTCTCTGTAGGTCATTTTGAAAACAGACATTGGGCCTGGGTGTAGAGGAATGGCGTTTTCGGATACGGTAGCTATTTTTGGCCTAAATTATTGTTGTTCAGCTTCCAAAATGAAAAAAAAAAACACAAAAAAAACCAAAAAAACACTAAAATAAATGTATTGTGTTTAGATCAGATTATCATACAAGCATATACAAGCGTCTGCACACACACAGTAGATCCTGATCACTAAATAGGCCTATGTTCATGTAATAAACTGTTTACGCTAATTAACTTTAATTTATGTTCTACTGAATGAGCT